CCCCTCTCTTTCAGTTCACCCTTAATGTGTGCATCCTGCATTACTATAAGAACGGTGCTTGCTCACTGCTAATAGTCTTTCCTTGAAGAAATTTTTTATTAAAATGGAGAAATGAAACAGGCTGACAGTAATAATGATGGGGTGAAGAGAGAGAACTGTCACATTAAAAAAATGTTACTTCAACAGTTCTCAGGATTGCTTCCAATCATATAGCTACCCATAGCAATGATGACAGCGCCAGCATAAAATGAGTATCAGTTATTGGAGAAATTCTAAACATACTGGATTAAGAAGGGTTAACTGATAAGTTTAAAGCACCATCACCTTACATGCAAGTGTTCTTAGCCTTTTTGACACAGGAAGAGACATCTGGAATGTTTGATCTTGACACTCTAACAAATAATGAATTATTTCTCTAGTAAGTGAAGAGCAGTGAGCAAATTAACTTTCAAATATGGATAGAAATTATCTGAATGACTGAGTCTACACCTTATGACGGGATGGCATGCTAAACATCTCTAACAAAAATTAAATATAAGTAACAACTTTAATTGCATGTTTTGTTGGGAAATATAATCTCAGTTTAGATTAAAAAAAAAAAAAATACCCAATCACTAAATAGTTTTGTGGAACGTTAGACTTGTGTCAACCTGTAACTTGCATCCTGGTTCCATCCAAAACCTGTCATATTAAAATGAGGCAGGTGAGACTCATATGATTTATCTTAAAATGTTTTCATTTATCGTCTTTAGTCTTAGAGCTTTGTTCTAATCCATGAGAGAGACGTGCATCTAAAAACAACTAACCCTCAAAACCAACCTGCCCTAAAACCAACAACAAAGCAGCACAGACGTTTCCATAACACGACTGCTGTACTGGGACAGAGCTTCATAATGAAGGGTCAGGACAGATAAACCTCACAGGTCTCCTCTGACTTACCAGTCTGCTTGGTTGTTGTTTTTTTTTTAAGGGGGTTGATTTGGTGAGATAGAACTGCTCTTTTAACAATAATTTGCATACTGTGTATGCACATACCCACGTATTAACTGAAATAAACCAGATGTAATCATCTCCTGTTCATTATCACAGGGGACTTTTGGCTTCGACTTATTTTGACCAGACACAAATGGGCAGGATTCAGCATGCACAAAATTATACACAAAAAGTCTTAAACTACACTTGAATAGTTTTCTGTACTTCTGTTAGTGACCTCTGTTCATAAAACTTACTGTCTTGTGACGGTCCAGCCACCTCTATTCTTTTAAGAAGAGTAACTCAATAATATTAAAATAATTTTCATTTAGCACATGTTAGTTCAGTAAAACTTCAATAGTCACACAAAGATAAACAGAACCATATATATGCCATCTCAGTTTATAAAATGCTGGCTATGAAGCTTGGTCTCTGCAGGTCCTGTTCAGGTAAATACCTAAATAGAAAGGCTCTATTTTACTTATATCAACTTTGTCAGGGAAGTCTTTCATGATGACCCAGCAAAACCCAGGCACATTGTCTGTTAAAATCTCTATCATCAGATCAGCAGGAGAAACCACAGCAAATATTTGAGCACGGGGTCAGCCCACTTCCTGTGTTTCACCCGTAGTTGGAGGAGGTGGCAAAGGCGCTGCCAAATTTTGCTGGTGTAGTCCATTTCCCAAACTTCTGAATCAGTCTGTAATGACTTGGATCTGGTCATCTGCTTCCATAGAACTGTTATAAGAGACGCTGTATCTGGCCTTTAAATAAACGGGAAGGCGTTTTTGTTTTGCAAATGAAAACATTTTGTGACCAAAATGCTGCATGTGGCTGTGGAGACCTCTAACAAAGCCAGCTGGCTACTGGAAAGATGGAAAATCAACAACTGCACTAGTCTGGCTGCCTGTTTCACAACTGTCAAGCTGTTAGGCAATAGTAATATGGTTATTGCATATTAATAGAATATAACATTAATTAAAGCCTATTCCAGCTAAAAGCCTAGTAAAGAATCTAATTTCTGATTTCTAAAAGCTTGCACATTTAAATAGCTAATGGCTGTTTATGGTTTTTACTGTGTTATTAAGATTTGAACTGCGATACAAATTTACGCAATCCAGTCAGTAATCTACACCTAAAAAGTGCTTTCGGTACAAAAGGAATTAGTATGGCTTCTTGGGTAAATATTTTAAATGCAGGATACATTCTCTTCCTTCGCTACAGATGCCTTTTGCAACACCAGCCATTTTTATGGACAAAATGTATGCAACCTTAGGAGAAAATACTTCCAATATTTTCAAATCCCAGTAGGGATTAAGAGAACTCTTCTCTATGTCTGGGATAACACACTCCACTGACAATGATGTAGACAGAGGTTGCTACAAGTTTGGTTATCAGCAAGTGTGGGATGGGGAGCCCACCGTTCATAAATAGGAAAGAGCCCACAACTCATTTTAAATTCCAACAAATATTTTGCATTTTTACTGACTTTGTGACAGTGTTAGTGTGTGACCCAGGACAAGTTGTATGAAACATCTATCTGCCCTTCAGAAAAGCTAGCCGAGCTCAACAGCTAGGAGAAAGCCTAGGCAGCCTGGCATGCCTCTCACTGGCGACAGCAAAGCCCTGATGTGGTGAATCCCTCAAAATGTGTGAATTCCCAAGGCAAAAGCCTACAACCATAACAAGATCTTACTTTTCAGAATTGCCCTGCCGTACTTTACAGTGTCACCTCAGGGACCAGTGATACAAGTACGCATGCAAACAGACTTCTTAAATCCAGTCTGAAGGTTCAGTATGGAAGCTCAAACACAAGTGTCCTCACTCCCCACAGCTTCCTTGACAAGCAAGAAGGGAAACAGTTTTAAGAGCTGATCACATACCCAAATAAAACCAATATATATTTGTAACAGCACAGAAGCTTATTCTCTTTGGGAATATTTTAGGGGGGAGGGAAAAAAAAAAAAAAAAAAAGAAAAAAAGAAAGAAAACCAAACAGTGAAAAACTCATCTGCTCAGATAACATCTTTTATGGAAATAATCCTTGATCCTTGTTATCAGCTGAGCTCTATTACACACAGGCTGTGGGGAAATATGTAGGTGTTAATATTGGGAATTAACTTTCTAAATCAGCTGATTCTTGCAGCATTGGGTGTTGGCGTTGCTTGGGACAGACTTTGAGCAGCACTATCGATTGAAAAGTCTGGCTGTGACTGAAACTTCAGGCTTCAATTAGTTTCAAAAAGCCTTAGATTACTGTAAATGACTGTAGCTTTCGCTAGCTTCTGTTTTCTGCTGTTAATACTGCCTTTTATTGGTTTGCCTTCTGGTGGTTTTTCAGCCTCTACTGTTACTGTTGTTCCTGTGTGGAGTGCTTGGGTACCCAGGTCCACGCGCTTAACCCAAAGGTTGAGAAATGTATGGAGTTAAATACAGTGCTCACTGTACTAGGGCCTGAGGTTCCAGGGCAGCGCTCTCCTTCCTTCCCTTCTGGGCCTGCGTTTCTATTTTCTGAACTGCCACAAACTATGTTTCCATTGAGTAAAAATAAGCAGAAGCTGCACATGTGTCTCTGCTTGGTACATGTAAAATAACATCTGAAATAGGTCATGGTGGTTTCTCTTCCTGACACCCGTGTTATTGACTAGTCAGGTCAGTAATAAAGGGCTATATTTTTTTTTTTCCCCTCAGAAGGAGTGAGGACATGAAAGTGAAAATGCAATTGTATGATTAAAGAACACTAGTGACATTTTTTGTACAGTGATGACTACAATCATGAGGATCATCAAGAAATATGTACATGGAACGACCAAAGAGCAGAAATCCAGGCAGATGGGGAAGCTGACCCCCTTTTAAAACCAGTGTATTTACGCTTCAGGTTACTTTTTCAAGACTTAAGAGCCTCAAGAAGCCAAAGTCCGTTACAAATCTTCGTTCAGCGGTTCGCTGGCTTTTATTCAGGATTCCGGGCTTTGCTTTGGAGACGTGACCCGCAGTAGCTTTACCGAACGGGAGGCGGCCTTTCCCCGCCGGCCACACGCTCCGCGCGGCTCCTCCGCTCCGCACCTCCCCTCAGGGCCAGGGCACGGCCGCCCCCGGCCCCCGCAGCCCCGTCCCGGGCGGGAAGGGAGAGGCGACCGAGCGCAGACTTTGCCCGCCCCTCCTCCCGGCGGAGCTTTATCCGCCCTTGAGGGAAAGACCCAGCGCCTCAGTCTCTCCCCCCCGCCGGCCCCAGCGCTCCCCCCGCGCGCGCCGCCGGTAAACCGTCAGGGCCCGCGGGGGCACCGGGGGTGGGGGGGGAGGAGCTGAGAGGGAGGGAGCGCACGCGCGCGCGCGCCCCCGCGCTGCGCCCGGCCCCCGCAGGTCCCTTCCCGCCCAGCCAATGGCGCGCGGCCGTTGCGGGAGGTGTGTGCCACGACCTCACTTCCGGTACCTGTCACCCGGCCGCCCAGCGTCAGTCAGGCGCAGGACCGGGGTACTGCTGCCCTACCACCACCCCCCCCCCACACTCCCCCCGGTAATCCACCCCCCCCACCTCCGCCTCCCTCCGGTCCCGGCCCCCGCCCCGCCCCGCCGGGCTGACAGCGCCGGGCGGCTGCTGCTTGTGCCCGAGGCTGGCGGCGAGAGGGTGCTCGCGCGCCGGTCGGCGGCGGTTGTTGTTGTTGGGGGGGGGGGGGGGGGGGGGGGCGACGGGTGCGCGTGTGCCGGGAGCCCCGCGGATCGCCGCCCGCCCGGGAGCCTGCCCAGCCCGCTGCGCCCGTGGGCGCCGAGCGGCGGCGGGCGGCCGCGCCTCTCCGCCTGTCTGCGGGCCGGCAGTAATGCACGGTATTGCCTGAGGGGCGCCCCCCCCCCCCCCCCCGCTTTCCGCTCCCCGCCCCCTGCGGCGCGGAGGCTGCCCCGTATCCCGGCTGAGGGGGGCACGGGAGGGGGGCGGGAGCGCGAGCGCGGCTGGGTGACGCCCCCGCCTCGCCAGCACGGTGGCGGTTTTGCTAATGACCTGTCCTTTTTGTTTGTTGTTTGGTTTTTTTTTGTTTGTTTGCTTCTTTTTTTTTTTTTTTTTTTTTTTTTTTTTTTGTCTCCTCCCCCTCTCTTTCTGGTTCTTCACTTAATTATTTGTCTACCTCGTCGCCGCGTTTTGAAGCCCTCTGCGAAACTCCGGCGGTGGCAAAGGCGAGGAGGAGTTAGCTGGCCCGCGGAGATGCTTTAGCTGCTCCTGCTGCGGCGCTGGGGCTGCGCGCCAGCTGCCCGCCGGGCGGGGACCGCGGGGGGCGGCAGCCCGGGGTCGGAGGGGCTAAAGGACGAGCAAGAGCCGGCCCTGGCGGAGGCTGGCGTTTCTAGGTAAAGAACGGTCTTGGAAACTTTGTGGGGAGTCTTCAGGGGGTTGGGGGGTGAGGAACAGAGGAAGAGACGATGTCCTGTCATATAAGGTGCTGTTTTGCAGCTCTGATGCCTCTTAAATACAGCACATTTGAATTGTCTTTAACCGGGTTTGAGAAACGAGCATGGGCGCTAGGCAGAAAATGCGTGCTTGGAGGTTGCCTTTATTGTCTTGACTTAGCCAGGCAGGTTGTGCTTTTACTAGTCGGTTGGTCAGAGGAGAGTCCTGTATACTTAGTGTGAGGAGAGGGTCAGTGGGAGCTCACCCTGTATTTGCTTCTGTGGTTTGATGAAAAAACCCCATGTTCTCGATTGTCCTTATGGGGCTGTCCACTTGCTTTCTGAAAAGCAAGTGAAAAAGGTAGCATTCAAAGGAGTGCTAAAAGTTATTGCCTTGTATTCATATTAAGATTAGCACAGCCTCACTGACTGGAGTAGCTGTTCCCAAGATCTCTGATGGAAGAAGTATGAGTACAGGATTCGTCAGACAGCATTACCTGGAATAATGATGTTTGGCAATTTGGTGAAATTAGATGTCTTAGTAATACTGCACATATAAAATTGTTGCATAAGTTTTGTTTGTAAGGAAAGTTTTAGTCAAACTGTATGCGTGTTATAGAACATGCACAGACTTTCTTATTAGCATCTAACCCTGATTACTGGGTTGAAATTCACGTGGTCTTTGCAGGTAGCAAAACTGATAAGCTATAAAAAGTCTTTCCTTTATAAATTCTGAATGACTGACTGACTTGTTGAGGCTACCTGGTCTCATGCTGAAACTGACGGCAGTTGCAGTTCATGTGATGTGGTCACAAGTCTACTCCAGGCTTAAACCAGTGTCATAACCTTTGTTATTTGGCCAGAGCTATCAAGCAGCCGTGGGCTCTTAGTTACTTCTAGTGGCAACTTTGGGGACTTTTAAGTAGTGCGATGTAGTGTTTCAGAAGGATGAGAGTGTGCGCAGACCTTATCAGAGGTTTGTGGAACTGTGTAGCCAGCACGCTCCCTTTCTTTTCCCATGTTTGGAAGGAATACTTGGCATAGTCCAAAAAAGAGTTCTTATCAGTCTGCTGATGCCTTATATTGACTGTCATCCTCTACAATCAGGTGGCATAGGGAGTTTTGACTACTTATTAGAAACCTGTACGTCCTGAAAACCTTGTGGTTTTCTCACTTGCTCTTCGGTGGTTCTTTAATGTCTTCATTTTCTATTCATACCTCAATACTGTAGTTTTCTTAAAGGGCGTTATGAATTTTAAACCATGGAGAAGGGGTTGCATTTCGGTCGTGATTTTTGTATTGTTATGCTTTTAATATTTTATGTGTTATGTTATAAAAATATTAGGTAAGATAATGTCCTACAGGAGAGTAGGATACATGGCCTAGCTCATCTTGTTCTAGAAAATAGATTACAGTGCTCACTGTTGACCCTAAGTGGTCAAGGAGGGCAATGTAAATTTTCTTAGTATTTTTTTTAGAAGAAGCTCTTAATTCAGAATTGCAAATAGCTCTATTTTTTCTCTTTGCTTTATCTTACCTACTGAGATTTTAGTTCTGAGCTCTGTTTCTCTTGCACATGGCGTATTTGTTGCAAGGGGAGAAAAGAAAATACCATACTTGTGTTGGAAAATAAATGAAGTTGAATTCATATTTATTATAAGTACAAATATATTTTCTTACAGCATTTTGGAATTTTATCACTTTTAATTTAATCTGACTGCTTTTGCAAAATCTCTCTGAACTTTTGTTTGGTTTTTAGTTGAGTGGTCAGGGGACTCAACTGAATCAAACCATTGTTTGCTTTTACAGCTATGTATGATTTTATTTATTTATTTACTTACTTACTTACTTTTTAGCAGGCTTTATAAAATATGTAAAAGTAAAATCTCTATCTTTGGGGTGTAAATGGTACTTAAAAGGCCAATTGCAAAGACATCTCGTGGGGGGTGTGTGTGTGCACCTTGGAAACCGTAACTACTCTAACAATTTCCACATAAACACCTGGACGTTTGTAAGAATAAGAATGCTCTTTATGATTGAAAGTATTTTGCTTCATAACAGATAATTAAAATAGCACAAGGCTTTCACTGTAGTGGTCTTAGTTGAATGCTTTTCAATTTTTCTAGTATGAAGAAAAAAAGATCAGAATGATACTGGGGTATACTGGTCATATACCCTAGTTAGCTAGATGTCAGTGTAATCCTGCTGCATAACTAGGTGTTGTATATAAAGCCTCAGTCAGTTAAAAAATAATTTTAGCCCAAGTGAAATGACAGTGTGTTTTTATGAAGAAGCATAAAGAAATATAAAGCCCCATTATATTATATGATAACAATATAAAGGTAGAATAGTAAGCTTTGGGAAATTTTGTTGACTATTTTAATTTTTTTTTTTTAAGAAAGAATGTCAGCGACTTTTTAATAATGGAGAGCTACTTGTTATCACCAATGTGCACATGAAATGGAAAGGGAACAGATTCTGGAAAACAACTTCTGTTTCAACCTTGCAAGATGGTGCATGAAGTGGTGAGTACATACGTGGACCGGGAGCTATCTTGGCATTGTTTTTGAGCAACTAGAGAAGAAAAACCATTCAAGATAATCATTCTTTACAGAAATTCTAATGTATAGCCAACTGACAAGGAAAGAAATCTGAGCAAGTAGAGCCAGTAAATAGTTGATAAATGGAAACTAGTGGCACAATCAGGAGAACAAAGTAAAAATTTCCTCATGTTGTGATGGCTATTGCTGTGTTAGAGTTTTATGTAGAAGTTGTACAAAGGTGTTATTCAGTAGAATTTTGAATTATTAATAATTTAAAAGTAGGGTGCTCAGCACTTCACAGGACCTTTTTAGGAAATAGAATGCTGAATATTCATTGAATGAAAAAGTACTTGTCTAGTAAGGTTAGACTAAATCGTTCCTATCCTTGAAATAAAACTAAAATATCTCAATCTTAGAGTGTGATATTTGGCATGTTTTACAAACATTAAGTTGATATGAGGAAATTGTTGTGTGACCAGATTGCATGTGGCATTGAGATGTTGCCAACTCTAATTCCACTTCCTCATACCAGTTGTCATATTTTCTGCTTATGAAACAATATTTATTTATAAGTGCATTGCATGTGTCTTTAAAGTATCTAGGAAGTATAATTTCTGTGTTCACTGAAGGGCTTCTTGTGCACTGATTAATACAAATTATAAAATACAGTTCATTGGTATTCTAATCCTGACTGAGGCTTGAGTTGTTACATGACTGGTTTGCGTGGTTGTTTGCTGTGTTTTAAAATGCTGTGTAAGCATAAATTGTAGAAAATTTTTGTATTTTGGAGATTGAAAGATTAGAACTACCAAACAGGCATAGTTTGTTCTCTAGTAGTATATTAATCTAAATTTGCTGTTTTAAATTCAAGTTGTCTAATGCCTGTGGAAACGCTAAACAGTATGAGATAGGTTATTTGCCAAATGCTTGCAAATCTGTCCCTTTCTAGAAATGTAGATATACTATCATATTTAAAAAAAAAAAATACATATATATATATATATAAACTAAGAACTTATTCACTTAATCTTTCCAAATAGTAAAATAAACTTGTTCAAAGGTGTGTCTGCCTTGAGAAACTCAGAGTAGTGAGCAGCTACTGAAGGTGTAAGGTTCTTTGGCATTTGTTTCCAGGCAGCTGAACTATATGTGAAAGCAAGTTAGTCCAATATTTTCATCTTTCATATTTTTGCATCTCATTAGTCTGGTTTTAGTTTGTTGGTAAGTATGTAAAAGGAAACGAGAGCTGCTGTTCGGTATGCAAATTAACTGCTGGTTGAGTAACTTCTTACTCATCTATGAGTGTATAATATCCTGGAGCTGAGAGCATTTATTGTTGTGAATAGTTTTGAGTTTGTATTTTGCATGGAAAAATGATACCATAATCTGTCCTAGTCTTATTTAGATTTAACAGAAAAATGGATCATTTGAAATTCTTCTACAGCCTATGATTAAGGTTTTAAGGCAGGGCTTACTGTCTTCTTGTATGTATTCGTGCACCCAGCACAGTTATGCTCTCTAAGTTCTATTATCTGCATATAGGCTTGTATTGCCATTCATTTTTTTCTTACACAGTTTGCTATGTGCCTGTTTTATTTTGTTTTAAATAATTATTTACTGGAAATGATTGATAAAACAATTCACAGAAGAAAAACACTGAATTAAACCAGAATGTGAATGTTCAGATAGTAAGAATTTTTGTCTATTTGCAAACTCCATTTGAAAGTAAAGACTTTAATTACTGTTGACGTTTCCTAGCCTCCTGTTAGTGTTACTGCTTCAGCAAGAATGTTAGAAAGTAGATAGCACTGGAGTCACAGTGCAGACTTACATTAAACAAAACAAAACTTCCTTGCATCTTTTTTCAACATGTATGGAAAATGTTCCTAGAATAGGAAGGCTGAAAAATATAACATGGAACCATTTGGATTTGAGCGGAAGGAGGAGGGAGAAGGTGGGTGTTGCATCAAGAGACTGCTTTGGAGACTCCTGGATTAATTAGCAGGCAGTGCTTTATGGCATTCTTTACAATAGTGCTAATGAATGCTCCATTACAATGGTGGATGAATTTACCCACTCTGATGTTAAAATAAAATAAAATTATTTGCAGCTTCTAGCTCATAGTAAATATTGTTGGCTGGTAGGCAATTTTCAGGGGAAGATTACAAGAACTATGCATTGTTACCATAAAAATTTTGTTTCTATTTGAAGCTAGAACTAGATTGTTGCTGAAGGTTAGGATAAGAATAATTTTAAAAACTAGCCAGCATGCACAGATTATTGGACACTGAAGTTTATTCAGCAGAATTGAAAATGGTCAAGTGTGGTTCTTCAATCTTTTTTTCGTAGTCTGTAGGTAAACATTCAGTTTGGAGTAAGTTTGCTGCATTGTGAGGGAGTTTGGAGTGGTTTTTTTGTCAGTGTAAGATGCTATATAGATGCAGTTTCACTGTAAGAGAGCTATGTAAACAGGGGAATGTTGTGTCTGTGGAAATGACCAGTTGGTTGTTGGAAATTTTGCTCTGTGAGCATAAGGTAGACTTGTATTGTTATGCTGCATATATGTGGAATTCAAAAATTTTGTAGTGTGTTTATTCATATTCCACAGAGCTGCCCAAGAGCACATAAGAAATTTGAACTGGGTTTTTGCCTCTGAAATTAATTATTTTATATATATATGTATTAAAAAATTTGTATTTATTCTTATCCACCTCAGGACAAAAGACTGTTGTGTATCGTTAAGCAGGCCAGTCTGATTAGAAGCAAATCAGGTAGCAGCTTTACTATGTATGTAACAGACAAGTAGCACAGGATACTGCTTTTCAAAAAAGCAGCAGCTGTACATTTTGTGTACTGTGTTTCCATAGAGATATAACTGTACATAAATAGGCTAATATTTTCAAACAGCTGTCAAATGTTCAAATTAAATGTATGTTTTGGGGCACCTGATTTTCAGCATACTGAGCTGCCATAATTCTAATCAAATTTATAAGGAGTTGCATTTTCTCAAGATTTTCAATCCTGTGGAAATGCAATAGTGATGATCCTTTAAGAATATGGAATTTTGCATTTTGCAGCTATCATTTGTTTTATTTCTCTTCTACCCTGTGTGTGTGTGTGTGTATATGAATGAACACATAAGTATGAAAAAAAAACAGAATTGGATGTCCCCTCTTTGTGGTGTTCCTGATAGCTCTGCAAATATGAGGCTTACGGTGAGAGGTGTGGCTACACAGCACGGCCTGATCTCCCAACTGTTGTTACAGATCAGTCAGGCTCCCTCTTCATGCTTCTTTCCTTTGCTACCGTCCACGTGTTTCTATCCTGCCTCTTTGCTGCCCTTTAGTGAGTCTGTTCAGCTATCTCTAGCTGTGTTTTTCCTGTGTTCTACCGGCTGAATTGTTTCACTGAGGCTGTGTCTATGCTAGGAAGTAAAATATGCCAGGGACTGCTCTCTGGACCTGGAATAAAGTGGCAAGATTGCACACACCTGACCATCTTCCCTTCTGAAGCAGCATGGTTGCATCCAGAGTGCCGGTGGAGAGCAGTCTGCTGCTCTGCATTTGCTGTCTCCTTAATCGTGCCTGTGCATTTGTCTGGGAGAGTGCCAAGTTGGTATGGGCCAAAATGGTGTCAGAGAGGACACTAACAGCATGGCTCAAGCTTGTGCCCTGGCCCTGTTTTATTTACTATTACAGATGTGGCCCGAGAGGTCAGACAAGTGCGAGAGCCAGCACAGGCAGGATGGAGCTGTGTGGCTGGAAATGAGGAAGGGAGAGAGAAGGTGCAGGTCTGACAATGTCAGGGAGCTACGGAAGGGATACCGTTTCGATGTCAGGGAGCTATTACATTACTTAAGTTGGCTTGCCTAACTGTACCATTAACGTAACGTTATTTTGCAACCAACAACTTTGGTTTGGCTCTGCAGGGGGCTGTGAGTGCTGTGTCCTTGTAACTGCTTTTTCAAAGTCTGATTCAGTCAGCTGAAATGCCTTACAAGGTAAATTAAAACTGGTTATATGTAAGTACATGTATGACTTTTTAAACAGGTTTTCTTATCCTCGCTATTTCATCAGACTGTTGTTTTTCTTCCACCTCCCTGTAATTCAGGTGCTTCCTTAGTTAAAAGAAGTGGGGAGGAGGAGTGGGGTGGCAGGCAGGCAGCAGTGGTGATACTATTGTTAATATGGGGCTGCTAAACCGGTAAGTAGACAACCTTCATGTCATGTGAAGGATGAGCAGAGAGCTTAGATGTCAGGAATATAATTGGTTATATTTTGACATTTTTTGATCGTGCAGGACTGTGAGGCTTGTGATCTCTATACTGCAGCAAGTGACCTGATTTAGAACTGTGAAGTCATGTGCCCCAAGTATATCCTCTATCTGACGTGTCAGTAGCTTGGAAGTACAAGTACTTGATGTCCATTTGCCAAAAAATGTAGATTCATTGCATTCGTACCTGTTGCCAAGACTCCTGTCAGCAATGCTAATTCAGTGTAAACTTTATTTATGCATGGTACATTTATCATAACAAAAAGCTTTTTTAGGTAGGAATTTCTAAATTACCAGGACAAAAAACTAAAGGACTTTTTCTTAACAAAAAAAAAAATCCAACAACAACAAAAAGGGAAAGAATTTTATTTCACATTCCACTCTGGATACTCTGAGTTGTGTCATGTCATTAAATCAAAGTTAGTTTATTTTTAGAAATATTTATTTATTTATTTATTTAAATGTAATAACTGAGTATCCCGGTTTCGACTGGGATAGAGCTAATCGTTTCTTTTTTTCCTTCTTAGTAGCTGGAATAGTGCTGTGTTTTGGATTCAGTATGGGATTTGATATGAGAGAAATGTTGATAATGTACTGATGTCTTTAGTTGTTGCTAAGAAATCAAGGACTTCTCAACTTCTTGTGTTCTGCTAGTGCACAGGTACACAAGAAGCTGGGGGGGAACACAGCCAAAACAGTGTACACAAATT